TATTTGTTACTATTTTCTATTCATTGCCCTTGTTCTTTTACTTTTTTTTTTTTTTTTTTAGATTTTTATTTATTTATTTGACAGAGAGAGACACAGCGAGAGAGGGAACACAAGCAGGGGGAGTGGGAGACGGAGAAGCAGGCTCCCCGCAGAGCAGGGAGCCCGATGCGGGACTCGATCCCAGGACCCTGGGATCATGACCTGAGCTGAAGGCAGTCGCTTAACCAACTGAGCCACCCAGGCGCCCGTTCTTTTACTTTTTTAAGAGATTACCCTAGAGTTTGCAGGACACATTTATAACTAATCCACTTCACTTACAAGTAAGCTATAATCATCTAATACGTTGTTGCTAATACTCTGAAAAGTGTTACCAGTTCTATTAAGAATAATAAAAATAGAAGTTTTTGTTTTATCGTCATCGGTTCCATCTCTGATGATCTTTCTGTAAATTTGAGTGTCTCAGCGGTATCATTTTTCTTCTCTCTGAAGAACTTCTTTTCACATTTGTTATAGTGCAGGTCTCCTGGCAGCGAATTCTCTCACCTTTTGCTTGTTTGAGCAAGTCTTCTTCTCTCTTGAAGGATAGCAGAATACAAAATTCTAGGTTTTTAATCTTCTCTCAACACTAGGTATCTCAGGTCCGCTCTCCCTGTGCATGCTTTCTGAGGAGACGTTGGATGTAATTTTTGCTCTGTTCCTCTGTACGTAAGGTGTTTTTCCTCTGGCTCTGTCAGGAGTTGTTCTTTGTCCTTGTATGTGGTTTGGGGGCATTTATCCTGCTGGGCATTCTCTGGACTTCCTGGATCTCTGGTTTAGTGTCTAACTTCAGTTTGGGCAATTGTCCGTCATTATTGCTTCAAATACTTATTCTGTTTCTTTGTCTCCTTTTCTTCCCGGCATTCCCATTGTACATGTTACTTCTTTGTAGTTGTCCCATGGTCCTTAGATAGTCCGATTTTTTCCTGTCTTTGTCTTTTTTCTCTTTGCTTTTCAGGTTTGGAGGTTTCTGTTGGCATGTCCTGAAGCTCAGAGATTCTTCCTCAGTGGCCTCTGGTGATTGCTGGATTAACGTCGGCCGGTTTCTTACTGTTTCCTGTTCCTTGCCCTGTGCTTTCTTCCTTTTTTCTCTTCCACTTTTCCCTGCTTTTTTGTGGTTTTAATCAAGCACTTCCCATGATTCCATTTTCTCCATGATGGGTCCCCCAGACACATTCTTCATTTCCTTTATGATGTTTTCATCTCTGCTGTGTCTTTTTAATTTTTTCTGATAATTTCCACCTCTCTGTTTACATTACTCATCTTTTCTCACATGTTGTCTACTTTTTTTCACTAGAGCTCCTAGCTTATTATTGATAGTTACTTAAAATTCTTGGTCTGATAATTCCACCATCCCTATCATATCTGAGTCTAGTTTGGATACTTGCTGTCTCATCAAACCATCATGTTGTTTGCTTTTTAATGTGCTGTATAATTTTTTTGCTTAAGGCATGATATGCCAGGTAGAAGGAACTCTGTGAGCCGTCCAGAAAGTGACGATGGGGTGTGGGGGCAGCACACGTCCTGTAGTGCTGTGATTTGGTCTCGTGCTCTCCTGCGTCTGGGCCACAGGCTGACCACCTCCCTCTGTGGGACCGGACGGCCCGCCACCTGCACTTTGAATTCCTCTTCCCTCAGTCCACCTGGGCTGAGACAAACCCCAGAGGTTAAGCTCTTGAGGGTAGGCCTTGTTGAGAACTGAATACTTTGTTGTATTTCTAAAAGGGTACTTTTCCCCTCCCTCTACTGGAAGCAGGAGGGGATTTTTGTCTGATCTTCCCTGAGAACCTGGCAGCGTTCCTGGAGGTGAAACCTGTCAAAGCATTGGTGCCCTGTGTCCCCTCAGCACGATTGGTGGCTGGAGACTTCGTCCTAGCCTTCTCCACACTGAGGCCTCAGCCGCTGGGCAGTTGCTGTTCAGGGTTTCCTGCCCTGCTTCCTGCAGACACTTCTGCCCGCTGAGCTGTGATCGTCCGCATCTGCAGGTCAGTCTCCGGTTTGGGGAGCAGCCGTTTGCCCTGTGACTTCACGTCTCTGACCAATCAAAGGAGAGTTGTTGATTCTTCATCGAGTTCAGCTTTTTGCTTGTTAAGGTGTGGCACCAGAAACAGCACGTTCTCTCTGTTCATGGCGTTCAGTTTTTAGGAGCTCTTGGCTTTCCCTCTTTGTAGCCTCTTGTTCCCGTGTTCCCTTGGTTTCCTTGCGGACACCCGTTCTTTCACTTCCTTCCCGTGTGGCTCTGGGATCATTTCATAACCAGTTCGCTGCTCGTTTGATGGCACTCCTACCACGGAGGGGTTGTTTCTTGAGTGATCAGTAGAAGATGGTTTCCGCCAGGGTCCTCCTCCAGCTGGGGAAGTGAACTCCATGGGGACATGTGGTGACTTGTGGGCCTGAGCTTTGCCTGGCATGCAGGGATGGAGCAGCCCAGATGCTGAGTCAGCTACCCTGCCCTGGTGTCCTCCGTGTGGGAGGGGAGGGCGTGCTGACGCCTGGGGCAGGCCCAGCAGACCCTGAGCGAGTCCTTCATGTCTATGTACACGTCTCTCCTCATCCTTCCAGCCCAAGCCTCGCCATGTTCCACGGTGCTTCAGGGAGCTCTGCTCTCCTTCCAGGCTGTGTTCTCCCGTCGTCCCTGAGTCAACTGCATGTTTGTGTGCAGGCTGTGTAGAACGAGGATGGCCCTGCGCCGTCACCTGGGAACCGTGATGGATCGTCCGGTGCAGACCAGTTGGCCATCTCTCTTCCTGTTCACTTAACTTTATCATCGTGAGTGTAACACTAGTAAGGAAGTGTGTGTTTAAATCGCATACTTTCATGTAAGGCCAAGGAGAGAGAAATTTGGATACCTCGCAAGCCTCCAGCCTGGGGAACCACCATACCGAGTGTGTGGTTGGAGGTTTTTTGTCTATTTTTGCTGCTCAATGTGAATTTTGATCATTGTAGTAAGTACTTGTGTTTGCTGCATTCCACCGATTGTGTTTCCATTTTTTCTTCAAGATCAAAGTTTTATTGTGATTTTGTCTTTGGACTATGGACTTTTAGAAGATTGTTGTTTAATTTTCAAAAACACAGGTATTTCCAGATATTATTTATTTCTGGTTTAATTCTGATGTGGCCAGAGTACAAACTTCTTATGATTTCAGGTGGTTTTAAGTACATGGAGGGTTTGTGTTCTGAGGAGCAGATGGTGTGACTGGGTGAACGTCTCATGTGAACCTGGGAAAAAGTGCGTGCTGGCTGTTTGTGGAGTTCGGGTCTTCTGTGTCTGTACCGATTTTCTACCTGCGTGTTAAGTCAGTTACCGAGAGGGGAGTTCAGGTTGGGACTGTGGGTGATTCTTCCTGCCAGCGCTGTCCGGTTTTGCTTTGTGTCCTTCAGTGTTCTGGGACCAGGTCCACACAGTCGGCCTGGGGTTAAATGTGGGGACTTCTTGGTTCATTGGCTCTTACCATTTTGAAATGTTGTCTTGATCCTCTATAACTTTGCCCTGAAGTTAACTCGTGTGGTGTTAGCCACTGTGCCATCCCTTCTGTCTCGTCTCCGAATTGGTGTGTGTGGCGTGTTTGTGTTTGCTGGGATTCTCCGTTCCATTGGGCTGAATGTGTGCTCAGTGCATGGGTTCACCCACCGTCTTCTGTCCTGGCTCCGCAGTTTCTGACAATGAATCTGGAGTCAGTATTGCCTTTGTTTCCCTACATTTGATGCGTCTTTCATTGACAGGCTGTTTTAAAAGTATTTTATTGGTTGCTGATTTTCAGAAACGTGATTAGGACGTGCCCTGGTGTGGTCGTCTTTGGCGTCGGTGAGCTCGCTGGCCATGTGTTTGCGCACTTACCTGCCGTTGCTCCTTCCAGAGTTGTTTCTTCTTTCCCACACCATCCTCTCTGTTGTGGGTGCAGTTCACAGTGCATCAGGCCACCAAGGCCATTCCCGTCCCCGCTGTTCCCCGCCACTGGGGACCGCGTCACTGGTCTTTGTGTCTGTGGGGTCTGGTCTGCGGTTCACCACATCCCGCTCTTCTTCATTCATTTCAGATCCTGTGTTTTCCACCAGTTTCATTCCTGTCCTTTCTTCACATTTTTTTTCTTTTAAGTGTCGTTTGTGTCTTCCTTTAACTATTTGAGCTTATTTATTACAGCACTTTTAACATTTTTCCTGTTACTTACGTTGTTTGGTTATAGCCCACGGGGGTGTGGGGTCCAGTCTGCCGCTCCGTGTTGGGAATGAGCTGTGGCACGTCGGGACCCTGTTGCTGCCTTCTGGGTTTGTTGGGGTCCTCAGACGCCAGGATGGGCTGTAGCAGCTTTGATTCCTGGGGCTCCTTCAGCCTTCCTGCTGAGGGGCCACCTCTTTGTGGTTTTTACCTCACAGGTTCAAAGAGGTGGCTTGCTGGACTTCGAACACCACTCATGCCTTTCCACCCCCAGATGTTTGGAGGCCCCCGGCCCCCTGTCCTGCCAGCCCTGGTCTGGCTCTCAGCCTGGCGCACCCACCAGGTTCTTCTGGTTTCCCTTCTCCTATTGGCATCCACATGTTGCCCTCAGAACACAGTCTGCGTCAGGGCCGGGTCGCCGTAGTCCTGCCCCACCCATCATTCCGATGCCTGGATCCAGGTGTCTCACGTCTGCGGTGTTCTAGTTGCTGGGGATGGGAACACAGCTGCTGAAATGTTGTACTTTATGGCCAGGATCGTCACTTCTCTGGTTTTTGTCCATGTGATTTTTGGCGGTTTTTTATGACTGATCTGGGGAGATGAGCTGTTGTCCTTGTCATTTTATCTTCCTAGAACTCCTTTTATCTCCTTTTTAAAAATTAGATAAACAAAGGGCTTTCTGCATGTTGGCTGTTTATGGTTTATTTTTATTCATGCTTTATTTAGCAGTTTTTCAGAAATTAATTTTTCCAAGTTCTGAAGTATTTTCTATCCAGTTTTTATTGACTTCTATTCACTTCTCTTTTAGGCCATGCTGGTGTGTCTGCAAGCATGATGAAGAAAAGGACTTCCCACAAGTAAGCACCCCTGAAACTTGCTTTTAGATAGCAGGCTGTGGCCGTACGTGACGTGGGGTCTGAGATGCAGCGTGACGCCCTCTCCCCTGGGTTTGGGAGGTCTTGCCTCGCTGCATGTTGAGTACAGACCTGCAGCCGTGTCCCTTGTCCTTGGCCTGGCCTACGGCTGCCTAGGCCTGTCCTTCCACCTCTTAAAGCCTCTGGGCCATGATTTCCCCTCCAGCTCAGAGGGGCTGGACTGATGGCCGAAAGCGTCCGTTGTGGCGAGGGTGGCAGGTGCGTGGTGAACCCCTCTTGCTTCTCTCCTTGGAAGGGCTACACGCTCTTGGCTTGCAGGTTCTTGTCTCTGATCTGCAGCTTGACAAGGAGCTCCTTGTGGACAGAGGCCTTCGCTCATGCTTGAGGGCCTGGCTAGCATGCTGACAGGTGCTTGCTCACTGCTTTATAACATTTTCAAATAAATGAAAAGCTTGTAATTTAGGGAACACATATGCATGTTGGAAGATAATTAAAAAGCCATGTATTTTAAGTGACCAGTAGGTTATAATTCCTAAATTCTATAGGTACCAGAGTAAAGAAGTCACTTTTTCTCTCTTAAATCTTTGTGTATGACGTAGTTACATTTAAAAAGAAAATTGAGATACTATCTTGAATAATACTGTGCTTGTACTGAATTACATTTAATAGATTTCACAAGTACCCACCAGGTTCTGCTCGCTGCTACACTACGGAAATCGCTCTAAAGAACCAGTTCTGATTGTTTGGAGTCTTAATCGTAGACTTCTTAACTCTGGAAGAGACCCTTTGACCCCAGCTAGCACCTCCCAAGCCTCTTGTTATAGCCGTTCTTTCCAAATTTTTCCTACTGAGAGGCTCGTAAGTGCCCCTGCCACCACCCTGTGGGGTTGAAGAGCATGAGATGCCCATTCGTAATGGTTGGTGGTCAGTGCGCACATGCCTCCCGTTTCAGAGCACATGTGGACATGTAACGTAAATATCTATAATGCGTAGTTTAAGAAATGACCTGGAATAGAAAGGTGTGATGTTGAGGTGAGTATGTGTGTCCCTGAGGTTTGATAAAGCATTTCCCAGATTCCGTGGATTTGCCCATTACTAACCTTCGTGCTTCTGCCACATCCAGGGACCTGGTCATTCATGTACTGTTTCTCCCTCATTATCATACCACAGCATTACAGTAAATGGTAAACCATGTCTTGGTCCAAGTGGAAGGTAACCAAACAAATACAAGCGTTAAATATTAGGTGATGATAGAAACGTAACTACAGTGGGGAAGAGAAGCAAGGCACACGTTAACTTTGCAAGACCAGAACAGTACATGCAAAATAGATTTTGCCATAATCTGTGTTAAGATAAATGGCTTTAAGAATGTAATGTGCATTCAGTTTTATCCATTTTTACACATTGCCGGGTATCTAGGACTAGAACATCCTTGACTCAGGATTGTGGGCATTGTTGGGTTTGTGCAAGGATTTTACGAGCCTCGTCTGAAGCATGATCACCTGTTAACTCCTGGCTCTGAGGTGCTGGTTATTTCTCCCCCCAGAGCACAAGGAATAAACACCTACCTTTATAACTTTGCTGTTCATATGTGTGCCAGCTGAAGGCATCTGACCCCTGGGCTCTGCCGTGCAGGGAGCTTGACCTAGTGCTTATTTCCATTGAAAGTAGAGGGCCGTGACGGAGTTACTCTGTAGCAGAGGGAGCTGGGAAGAAAGGAGAGGCTGTCGCTCCCACTCGCCTGTGTCTTCTCACCTCTGTGCACCTCTGAAGATGGTTGGAAACAAAGACCTATGATGCACAGGTCTGCACCGTTGACCACGGGTGGTGGTTGCTGGCTGCCTCTGGAGCGGCCCCTGCCCAGGAGCTGGTGCGAAGCAGGAAGCTGGATGGCTCAGCTGGGCGCCTCGGCACGTTCCTCCATCCGCCTGGCACCGTGCTTACCGGGCCTAAAAATCCTGATGTGGACCAGGACGGTTCCTCTCCACAGGTGACATGTTTATGGAAACCACGTGGAAAAGCAGACCTGGAGCCTCACTCTGTCTCTCCACTGTGGCCCTCCGGCGAGCGAGTCAGGCACGCAGGCCTGACACACGCCTCAGTCCAGGGGGCTGAGCAGGAACGCCACGTGTGGACGCCTCTGCTTGCTGGAGGGCGTCCCAGGCACACCCGGGAGGTGCGTGTTGGCGGAGCCACCGTCCCCGCGGGGACCGGCAGGACTCGGGGACGCGGGTCTGCCGTGTTGGAGCACCGCGGCACCCAGAAGTTGTGCAGCTCTGGCTCGTTTCCGCTTTTACAGCAAAGGGAACAAGCTTACGTGCCCCCTGCCAGCCGGGCCCCTCACTGCATTTTGGGAACAAGTTGGTGACCGGCGTGTCCTGGCTTCTCAGGAGGTGGTTTGGGAAATGCCTCTCAGTGAACAGCCTGGGCTGCGTGGGTCCACACGACCTGCATTTCTTTCCGTAAACACGGGACTGCGCTGTGCGTGTATTTTCTCCTCCTTATGATTGTGTTCATAGCACTCTTTTCTCCAGCATGCTGGATTGTCAGAATGCCGTATGGAGTACGTGTAACATACACAATAGGGGTTAGCTGACTGTTTGAGGTTATCGGTAAGGCTTGTGGTCAAGCTATTGAATTTTGAGGAAGTCAGAAGGTACACCCAGATTTTCAACTGCGTGGGGGGTCAGTGCCCCAGTCCCTGCTTTGTTCAAGGGTCAGCTGTGGTTCTTGAAGGGAACGTATAGTGGGACGTCTAAGGTGAGTTTAGCTATAGTCGTTCTTTGTTTCGGTTGTCAAACGGAAATCTGGTTCTTTTTCTTCCCTAATTTGAATAGTGGATGCATTTCCGTTTCCAGGGTTTTGGTGTATTTCCCACTAACGCACATTTAGAGAATGGACCAGAGCTATATTACACACTGAGTAGAGATGTTTCCAGGGAGGGCTTTTCCATTTGTTAAGACATAAGTCACTGATGGCAACAAGGACAGAGACGCCGCCTCCTCTTCGTCAAGTCCCTGGGTGGCCTCCCTGTCAGGGAGGAACCCTGAGCCCGTCCATGCACAGAGGCTAACGAGCTAGCCCGGGTTCCTACACGCGGGAGTGACTGAGCGAGGGCTCACAGATAGGACGGCAGGACTCTAGAGCACGCAGCGACCACACGCTGTGTCCGCGGGGAACGTGTTCTAGTCTCCCGTCTGCAGAGTGGGTGCTGTCCGTGGTAAACACATGGGCTAGGTGAGCAGTGGAGCCTGGTGCTGACTGCCTAGATGACTTCTTAATCGGCTTGTGAGGAGCTGCTCTTCACACGAGTGAAGTGGGTAGCGTTTTGGAAGGCCCTCGGCATTGGGAGGCTTCCGTGGACAGCTCTTAGTGTGTAGACAGAGTAACGAGAGAACCCCGAGTGATTTGGGTGGAAGACAGACCCACTCCCTGTTGTTTTTATCTTGTCCTGTTAAGCCAGCAATGGTAGAGTGTCTGCTGTGGAACTTTTATTAAGCAGCGCACAGCAGAAAAGCAGTTTTTTCGTTCTTCTTGCTGGTGGGCATCTTGTAAAAAGACAGCCATTTTGATTTAATCCGTATTTAATGCTGAAATCTGCGGGAACACAGAGTAAGGGAACTGCTTTTCTAGGACAGACTAAAGAGAACAAGGAAAGCATGTCAGTAATTAATGGATACAGCAACATACACAGAGTGTAACAGGCATTTATTGGTTCATAGCAGAGTTGTAGTAGTTGAAATTTGATTGAAGAAGTGTGGTCCCTTTAACTTTTGGCTACCAAAATAAGATCCTCCAGTCCTGGGGGCTGTTTGGGGTGGGTCTCAGACATGGAGGGAGTCTGGGTAAACACTGGAAGGTCTTCCCACACAGAATTTCCTTTCTGGTCGACGGAACAAGTAGCATGGTCAATTCAGAACTTACTTGAAGTGTTGAAAGCGTTGAGCAAGGTACAGAAAGTCCCCTGCAGTCGAGCTCGCCTTGTTGGGAACATGGATGCATAGAAATTAGTGTTGGTTCTGAATCGTGCTCCCCAGGGGTGGTGCCTGGGGCAGAGTGCCCGGGAACCTGTTAGGCTAGAAGGTCTGGGATCGTGGACTCTGGTCTGTGGGGTCGGCGCGGCCGTCCACACGTGCTCCAGGTGGCCGCCTGCCTGCGGCTCCTCTGAGGCTCGTTGGGGAGCTAAGCGGGTTGTGCTGTAGCAGTGAGACCAGCTGCTGAGGGGCCGGCCCCCGTCCACTCACCCTTGAGGACACACAGCAGCTCGCTGGTCCCTGAAACCAGTCATGTCAGAGATGGCTTCTGGAGATAAGCAGCGAGCAGAGTGATCATAGGTGTTCACCTCTGGTCTCTCTGCTTTACCCTTGAATCCTTTGGATGGTGACTCGGGGCGGCCTTGTCCTCGCGCTCGGCTGCAGTTCAGGCTACCTCCCCGGAGCCAAGTTTCTGGGCATCTGTCTGCAGCCGCACGGTGTGTCGGCCTGGCAAGTGGTTGTGGAGAGCGCTGCAGACTCATTCCCAAGAATATAGGGATTGAGAGCCGTTAAAAAACACATGTGTCCAGGGAGGACCTAAGTCAACATCACCACGTTTAGGAAGCCCTCATTTTAAATTAGAAAAGCTGTTTCCGTTGATAATGTCCCATCTGCGTGCTGTTCTTTGAACCACCCAGAGATGACCTGAGGGTGTGTCCCGATTCTGGACCTTCTCCGGGAATCAGACACATTCCTCTTAGTTTGCTTTTATACGTACTGTTTCAGCTCGTGAAAATAAGCTTTTATTTTTATTGCAGCTCTTGTTGATTTTTATCTAAATTACCAGTTAGCAATTAAAATAAGATTTAAGAACTTGTTCAGGATACAATTTTTAACCTTTCTAGTTGTGAGCGATTTAAAGATTTTTTAAAAAATTTTTATTTATTTGACAGAGAGTACAAGCAGGGGGAGCCGCAGGCAGAGGGAGAGAGAGAAGTAGGCTCCCCG